CAGCCTCCTTGGTTTTTAATTTTTTTTTTTTTTTTGTAGATGGACACAACACAATGCCTTTATTTTTATGAGGTGCTGAGAATAGAACCCGGGTCCCACACACACTAGGCGAGCGCTCTACTGCTGAGCCATAATCCCAGCCCGGTTTTTAATTTTAATAGTTAAATTTATCAGTGTTTCTTTTTATGAATTGTGCTTTTGATTTTATGCCTAAGAACTCTGCCTAGTCCTTAGGTTCCAAAGATTTTCTTCTGTGTTCCTTTCTTTAATTTTTATAGTCTTCTGTTTTATATTTAAGTTTGTGATCTATTTTGAGTTGTTTTATTTAAATAAAAGGTTTAGGTTGAAGTTCATTTTTTTGTCTTTGGATGTCTATCTGCTCCAGTACCATTTATTGACAAAGCTATCTAATTCCATCGAAATGCTTTTGTACCTTTGCTAAAAATGGGGCACATTTATGTGAATCTGTTTGTGGTTTCTATATGTTTCGTGTATCTATCCCTCTGCCAATACCACACTGTCTTGATTATTGTAACTGTATAGGTCTTGAAATTGGGTAGTGAGTCTTTTCGTTTTTTTGGTGATACTAGGAATTAAATCTAAGGCCTCATGCATGTTAGGTGCAAACGATGAGCCACTTCCCCAGACCAGTCTTTCAGCTTTGTTATTGTTCTTCATTAGTGCATTGGCTATTGTGTTAGCTTTTCATTGCAGTGATTAATTATCTGATAAGAACTACTTAGGAGGAAAGGTTAATTTTGGCACACGGTTTCAGAGGTTCAGTCCGTGTTCTGCGTACTCCAAGGCAGAAACATCATGGTGGAAGGGTGTTGCGGAGGAAAGCTACCTAACTGTGGGTGGATGGAGGTAGGACAGAAGGGGCCAGGGTCAAAATATATTCTTTCAGGGAACACTGCCAATGATCTGCTTTTCCATCTAAGTCCCATTTCCCAATAATCCATTCCACTATCAATGGATTAATTCACTAATGAGATCAGAGCCCTCATGATCCAGACATTGTCTAAACAGTTTTCCCTCTATGAACCTTGCTGCATTGAGGTCCATACTGTCAACATGTGAGCATTTGGGGAACATTCCAGACCCAAATCATAGCAGTTATTTTAGGGACTTTCCTTTTCCATATAAACTTTAGAATAAGCCTGTCTACAAAATACTTTGGAATTGGGTTTAATGCAATTTCTATCCTATCTATCAGTTTGGGGAATATTGATATTTTTACTCTGTTGAGCCTTCTAATCCACAAACACAGTTAAATGTCATTAGTTTTTCATCCTGAAAGATTTTTAAGATGAAAGTTTTTCATTAGTATTTTGTAATTTTCAGCATACATGAGATTCTGTACATGTTTTATTAGACTTATACCTATTAAATTTTGGAGGGAGCAATTATAAATGGTATTAACATTTTAAAATTTGCTTTTACTCATTTATTGTTAGTGTATAATGAAATTGATTTTTGTGCATTGATCTTGTATGTTTCAGCTTTGCCAAACTTGCTTACTAATTATATGAACCTTTCTTATAGTTCTGTCATCTGCAAATAGGAATTGTTTTTTTTTTTCCTTCCTTTCTGATATGGGTGACTTTTATTCCTTTCTCTTAATTTATTGTAGTAGATAGGACTTCCAATACTTTGTCAAGTAAGAGTTAAGAATGGATATTCCTGGGGCTGGGGATGTGGCTTAAGCGGTAGCGCTCGCCTGGCATGCGTGCGGCCCGGGTTCCATCCTCAGCACCACATACAAACAAAGATGTTGTGTCCGCCAAAGACTAAAAAATAAATATTAAAAAATTCTCTCTCTCTCTCTCCCCTCTCTCACTCTATCTTTAAAAAAAAAAAAGAATGGATATTCCTATTGTATTCCTCATCTTAGAGGGAAAATAGTCTTTCATTATTAAATAGGATATAAATTGTAAGTTATTTATTTTTTAGATATTCTTAATGAAGTTGGCCAGAAATTCTCTATTCCTGGCAAAGGCTTTTTATCATGTTGATGAATTTTTCCAATGCTTTTTCTATTCCAGTTGATGTGATCATGTAATTTTTCTTCTGTAATGTGTTGCTATAGTGTATTACATCGATTTTTAAATATTTTACTAGCTATGCATATCTGGAATCATTTTACTTGGTTGTGATCTATTCTGTGTTGCTGATTCAGTTAGCAAATATTTTATTAAAGATTTTGCATCTTATTTCAAAATACATTTTTTAGTTGTAGATGGATAACAATATCTTATTTATTTTTATGTGGTACAGGAGGATCACATGTGTGAGGTACTGGGTTTGAGCCACAACCCCAGCCTCAAGATTTTACATCTTAAATCATAACAGATACTGGTGTGTGGTTTTCTTATCTTTATCTGGGATTAGTATTGGTAAAATGGCCTCTTAAAATGAATTCGGAAGTGCTTCTGCTTCCTGTTTCTAGAAAACATGTGTAAAATGGCTATTAATTCTTTTAATGCAAAACCATCTTGGCCTGGAGATTTTGGGGGAACTTTAGAATTACAAATTTAATTTTCAAAGTAGTTATGTTATTGTATTATCCATATCTTGGCTGAATTTCAGTTGTTTTGGAACTGAAATTGGAACTCCATGTTTTCTAATTCATTGAATTACAAGCTAAGTTGTTTGTAGTATTCCCTTATCCTTTTTTTTTTTCTTAAATTGAGGTAAGATTTTACTATTTTAAAGTACACTTCATTTATTTTTAGTGTATTAAAATCTAATTCCAGAACATTTCCAGAAAAAGCCCATGTTCATTAAGTAGTAGTTCACCTCCCTCTTTTCCCAGTCCATGACAACCATTAATCTACTTTTTCTCTGGATTTGCCTATTGTGAACATTTCATATAAATGGAATCAAATAGTATGTGATCAAATAGTATGTGAGTGTTTGTGCCTAGCTTCTCTTACTAATTAAGCATGGTGTTTTCAGGGTTTCTCCACGTTGTAGCATGTATCAGTATTTATTCCTTGGCTCATGGCTACATCACTCCAACCTTTGCTTCCATTATTTTATCTCTTTGTCTGACTTTGACCCTCTTGCTCCCCTCTTTCACATTAGGACTCCTGTGAGTACTGTGCCTGCACAGATAATCCAAGGTAATCGCATCTCAAGATCCTTAATTTAATAACATCTGAAAAATCCCTTTGCCATAAGTAACATACTGTCAAGTTTCAAGGATTAGAACACATACATGTTGGGGTGGGAGGCATTATTTTTATATACCACATGGATTTTATTTTAGATCTTTTCATCATTATTTCACTGTTCCCTAAGGCTCTGTTCTTTTTTTTTGTCTGTTATCTTTGTTGTTTAGATTGAGTAAACTATTGATCTTGTCCCTAAAGTCACTGAATTTATCCTCTGTAATCTCTACTCTCTTATTGAGCCCTTTCAGGAAAGGTTTTATCTCAGTAAGTATATAAGTTTTAGTTGTATAATTTCCATTTGATACGTGTAAGAATAACTTATGGGGCTGAGGTGTAGCTTAGCACTAGAGCATGTGCATAGTGTGTGTGAGACCCTGGGTGTAATCCCCAGAAACCCCTCTGGTCAAATTCCATTTCTTTGCTGAGATTTTCTATTTTTTTGTTTCAGTAGAATTCACAACTGTTTATTGAATTTTTTTTTATGATGACTGCCTTAAAAAAATTTTTTTTTTTGGTGGTGGGGGAGAGAAGTACCAGGGGTTGAACAAGGTACTTAACAGTGAACCTCCTCCCAGCCCTTAAATTTTTTTTTTTTTTTTTTTTTTTTTGAGATAGGGTCTTGCTAAGAGTTGCTTAGGGCCTCAGTAAGTTGTTGAGGCTGGCTTTGAACTCACCATCCTTCTACCTCAATCTCTTGAGCTGCTGGGATTTCACACTATCACACCCAGTGTGCTTTGAAATTTTTGTCATAACATTCCAACATCTTATTGATCTTGGTATTGATGTCAGTATGATGTTTTTTCTTGTTCGGATGTGTTTTTCCTGTTTTTTCATGGACATGTCAATTTTTGATTGTATCCTGGACATTCAACACTCTTGAGTCTATTTTAATCTTCTAATTTAGCAGTTCCCTCTTTAGGTTTAGCGTAGCTTCTGTCCTACTTTTGTGAGCTGTAATTCCTATGGTAATTTAGTTTTCAGAGCTCTTGCAGTGCTATTCTCTTCTACTTTATTCTCTTGACACCACTGTTCCTTCTTTTTAGATGCTGCCTTGGCTGTCTGGTGGCAGTGGGTCCCTGGCTTCGTTACTGCTAAGGGCAATTTGCCTTGGCATTGCCGCAGGTGTAGGGCAGGGATGCAGCTGCCCTGCAGTGTATCTGGCCTACCACTGTTTTAGGTGTGGGATGGAGGGCCCTGCTGATGCTGTGGGGAAGCTGGCGCATCACTGTTTTTCATGAGGACTAGGAAATGTTTCCCTCCATTGGGTCTCTGTTGAGCTGTCCCTTTCATAGTCATTTGGCCAGAGAGCAGAATTTTCTCATTTGTCTGTCTGTGTATTCACCCGTACACCCACCTCCCTCACTATTGTTGGTACCTGGTTACAGGCCTCTCTGGTGTGTAGTCTGGGATATGTGGAAGATAGAAGGAAACCCCAGTGAACTCACAGTAGTGCTTTCCTCAAGTCCTGAGTTCCCTAGCTAATCTTCTGCCTCCTTTCTAACTTTCAGGGTCCTTATATAATTGTATGTTGTTGTTTTTAGGGTATTCAGTTGTATGGTAGAAGAGAGGGAAATGTGAGCCTGTGCCATCATATTCTAGAACTAGTACCCTAGAAATTTTGAATTTTTGCACTGGTATTTATTTTCAGTAAATATAAAGTGGTTGATGCTTTTATTCACTTTGCTCTTTAGAGTGTTTCTTTGCATCTGTTGTTTACTCTAGGAATAATATATGACTCTTGTTTAAATAGTATGGGAATTAGAAGTGTCATGTCTCTCTATGTGTACATTTATTTATTTAATCATTTTATGTATTTATTTTTAGGGAGTGGAGCAACTGCTGTGGTCCAAGCAGCTTATTGTACCCCTAAAAAGGAGAAAGTGGCAATCAAACGGATAAATCTTGAAAAATGTCAAACTAGCATGGATGAACTGCTGGTATGCACATCTGATTTCTTAAATGGAGGGGCATACGTCTATATATTTATGTGGGAAATAATATGAAGTTTTTGGTTTGTTTCTTTAAAAAAAAGGTTTATATTTATTCACTTATTTTGTGGTACTGGGTATTGAACCTATTGCCTTGTGCATTCTAAGTTGTCTAGACTGGCCTTGAACTTGCAGTCCTCCTGCCTGACCTCTCTAAGTAGCTAGGATTATAGATGTGCTCCACCATGCTTGGGTGGGACTTACTATTTCTTCATTAGTAAATAATGTTTATTGTAAAATGTATAAAACCCGGGTAAATAGAAAAAAATCAGTTATAATCCTCTCACTTCAAGATTAACATTTACTATGTAATCTTTCAAATTGTGAACATTTAAATCTATTCCAGGCTAGAGAAAATAGCTCAGTCGTAGAGCACTTTCCTAGCATGAGCAAGGCCCTGGGGTTGATTCTTAGCACCACCAATAAACAAACAAAATACATCTTTTTTTTTTTTTTTTTAGTGGCAAGATAATTATATATTTATTTTTTTATTGAAAAATTTTTTATTCAACTCAGATTCTGTGTCTATAAATGTGGATTTAATGTTTTTTTGTTGTCGTAGTATTCTGTTGATAGATGACTATTTAAGTTGTTCTTTGGTACTGGATGATTACCATGTTTCTTCTTTTCTTCTTGGTATAAATAATGCTTGCTTACTTCTCTGTTCCCTTAAATATTATGGTATTGTGATTCCTGGATCAATGGAATATTCCAAAAAGACATAGATTTCCTAAATTTAGATTCCTAAATACCAATTTGAATTAAGACCATTGATGCAAGTTGAGAAAATACCCACTCCCACCCTCCCGAGGCAGCATTGTCTTCTCCAAAGGCTAGGGAAAGGAAGAAGTAATGTGAGTCTCAAAGATTAATAACTGTAAAGAGATTAAAATGTCATCATACAATAATTGTTTTGTACTACTTTTGTGCACAGTGATGCTTAGAATAGTTTTAAATATGTAATAAGGGTTCAGCAAGGAAAATATATCAATTATCATTTAATGCTTTGAATCCTCTTTCTTTGGCATTAAATGGAAATAATAATACCTCTTTTGGGTACCTCATGAGGTTTTTTCTTTTTTTTTAATATTTAATTTATTTTAGTTGTAGTTGTACACATATCTCCATTTCACTTGTTTATTTATATGTGGTCCTGAGAATCGAACCCAGTGACTCACGCATGCCAGGCAAGCGCGATATCACTGAGCCACAACCCCAGCCCATGAGGTTTTTCTTGAAACCCACTATAAACTTTAATTTCTTTTATTTAGCTATAAAGCTATAAACAGTATTTAAAGCCATATAAAATGAACTAGTAATTTTTCTAAGAGCATATAAAGCTAGTAATAGAAAAGGAAGGGCTTAGGACTAGGATGACCTGCCTATCCAAAGTTTTCCACTGACTCAGATTGTTTCTCTTCTTTCTTTTCTTTTTAAAGTGTTTTTTTTTTCTTTCTTTTTTCTTTTTTTCCTGATGCTGGAGATGACAGAGCCCAGGGCCTCTCATGCTAGGCAAGTACTCTACCACTGAGCTATATACCTATAGCCTTCCACTGTCCCAAGTCGGATTTAATTTCTGATATTGTCTGTACAGAGTTTTAGTATTACATAGTAATTGAAATGAAAAAAAATGGATTTATATTTCGAACTTTTAGCAAGTATGACACATGTATTTCTTCTGGAATTGGTAACACATGCACAGAAGCTGGAGTGAGTTGCTGGAATGATCTTGTCCCATCTTTGGTGAGAGAACATGCACTTGAAATGTGAGGCTGAGTGTAATCCTATTTGAAGATCTAGATTTACAGTTGCCAGCAATATCATACAGCAACATTTGAACTGCAGTGATGATAAGGGAAGCCTGCAAATTGTAAACTGTCAAAGCAAAACAAAATTCTAACCTACATATTAATACTAGAGTTTGAGAAGCCCAATTTGAATACTCATTATTTACTACTTATTGTACATTGTCTATAATGATAGAGACAAGAGACAAGATAAATAAAAAGCCTTATTATTTACTACTTAAGGACTAAAGAAACTGAGGTTCAAAGCTAAGTTCACATGATGATAATAGCAAACATCTTTCAGTACATTACCCTCAAACATGTCTGAGATAGGTAGTAGCATTATTTCTTAGATGAGGGAAACAAATCATAGAAGAGGTGGAGTCAGTTTTTCTGACTCAAGTCTATTCTGTTTTGTGTAATATGTTGCTTTTAATCTTAGTCCAAAAGTAGAACATCTCTTCTTAAATATCATAAAACATTCTGGACAGTATTTTTGTTTTTATGTCAAGGCCTTACTTTTAGAGGAGTACAAATTGATTTATCAAAAGAAATAAAATTGGTTAGAGATCTCTAAATTTTATCCAGAAGTATATATTTTGGCACCAGGGATTGAACCCAGAAGTGCTTAACCACTAGACCACGTCCCCAGACCTCTTTATTTTTTATTTTGAGATAGGGTCTTGCTAAATTGCTTAGGGCCTTACTAAGCTGTTGAGGCTGGCTTGAACTGGTGAGGCTCCTGCCTCAGCCTCCTGAGCTGCTGGGATTACAGGCATGTGCCACCATGCTGGTTATCCAAATATTTTAATAAAGTCTTAAATGGCAAGTATAGTACATATGTACTTATTAGCAAATATGAAAAAGAGCAAAAGTGACTTTTAATAGAACAAGTTAAAAATAATTGGCTTTTGGGGGAGTTGGGGAAATAAGCAAGAAAATTCCACTGGACTTGAAGAAATTTCAGTTATATATGGAATGCTGGAATCAGCTAATACTCTAATTTTATAATGAATCATATTTTCTTTGTAGAAATACATATATATGTGTATCTGTCCATTTCTATTAGATATAATGTTAATGTAACTGAAACAACATTCTCATGGAATAATTCTTGATTGTGTGGAACATACTCTCATTTTCTATTATTATATTTTTAAATGCAACTTTCTTAATTGATTTTGTGACCCATAAATAGGTTACAACTCATAATTTGAGGTGTACTGAGAGGTATTGAGACTCTTCATTTCAGGTTGTAACAATTGTAAAGGAAAGGAAGACACAGGTTTCTTAGATGCAAAATTTGTTTATAGTCCCAAATAAACTGTCCATGAGGGCAGAGGCTTTATTTATTCTATATGAATAAATGAATACAGTAACATTACTTGGGGGACTGACTGAATTGTGTGAAATGGAGGAAAACTGCCTACTTTTGAGTAATTAGAAAACTGGAGTGTAAATGCTAGAAATCAAGATGAGTGAGTTTCACAAAGGAATATAAAGTCACTATTAAAGGAAGAAGAAAGCTTAGGTGGAGAACTAAGTAGTCTTAATAGAAAGCCTTACATAACAGATTAATAAAGGACTTTTAAGAAAGCAGTTTCATTAGTAGGGGTAGAATTTACCCCTACTATTGGTTGTTGAGGAAACTGCTGGGATCTTTGAGTCAGAATGAATATACCACTTCTGGAAAACATTTATTTTTCCTTTTGAAAGGAAGAGGAAAAAAATAATTTTAGTGGGAGTTAGTGTTGCGACCCCTTGACAGTAAGGGAAACACGACACAGGATTCTTCTTTCAGCAGTTTACTCAGGACCTTTGAATTATGATGAGAAAACAGGAACAAGAGAGTGAGCGGTCAGTCTGCCCTAGCTTAAGTACCCAGCCTCGCCAATGAACTAGCACCACGTGGAGGAGTCTAGTAAGTACAGCGCAGCGGAAGCAGGCCAAAGCCCAGCCCACAGCCTTACAAGGAGTTATTTACTTCTAACAACTCTAACCGCTRAGTCATCAGAAGCAGGAAGCCAGCGCCATTTTCAGGGTGCGGTCGCCGGCTCCCAAGAGTTCCCCCTTTCTGTTTTACAAGCAACAGGTAAAAGTAGAGGTCCTATCTCCATTGTGCAAAAGTGGCCGYAAATAATGGCACACTCCTGAGGGGGCCCTCCCCAGGCGAATCACCATTCCGACCGATGCCTTTTTCATGGAGGTGGGGCGTCGACATCAAACCCACATGCAATAGGACATGCTTTTCTTGG